AAATTAAACAGTCCCATTGTTAAACACGTGTGAAGTACAGACGCTGTCAATGGGGAACAAATTGTCACTCAAGTTGCAAACACCGAGATCTATACGACTAAACATGTAAAGGAAAAATAGGTGATGCCGCCCGGCTAAAACGTACAATCACCGCTAGCACAGCACAGAAACGGATAGTCTGGTTCCCTGCCCAAGTTTTCACCGCTGAGGGCTCAAAGAAAAACAAGGTCAGGTACGGGCCGACATCTTGGTCAGATTTCTGGCCAAAATGGATGACAGTCACATGATGGTCACATGGTCACTTCGCAACAAACAAAATGGCTGCCTCCACTGTGACATGTACGCCGGTCAAGATAAGTAATTCATCTCAAGCGTGTTTTGTTTGTAGTACAGTGGGGACACGAACAAAAAAAATCCACGAAGGTACCGGGAAACATAACTTGAAGTTGTTGTTGTCGAAATATGGCGAAGTAGAGGTGATTGAGGGTTTGATTTGTAGGAATTGTGAACGCCATTTGTTGACACTAGATCGTCAGGTGAATGAATTTCGAGAGAAATGCCAAACTTCGAGCAGACTAAATTCGAATGTGAAGCGATGTGCGAGATCTCCATTGGTTGCTGAAGGAAAAAGCTTTAAGAAACACTCCAATTTGTCAAGTTGTAAGATCACCGAAATCACTGACAGTGTTGAAATAAGATGTGCAGAAGAATGTCCAACTCCATCTAGCTCTACCAAACCACCGAAAACTGTCAGACCACGTCAGATATTTCCTCCTTTACCACAAGAAACCAACAGTATTAAAAAAGATATTACTCGTGTAGGAATGGAACATAATTATTTCAAATTAAGCGATAATTCTAGGATTTCTTCAAGTTGTGGTATGCCTAAATTAGATTCAACGAAGAAAACCAGTCAAGAATTTGATGATATTTTACTGGAGCTTCGAGACTTGTGTTCAAGCCCTAAACCAAGTCAATGTGTGCTTACCAAGAGTAATATTACTTTATTAACTGCTGCCATGAATACCAAATCTGCAGAAGCACTTGCTAATGCTGCAATGGATATCCCAAATGTAGCTACACATGTTACTCATGTGTTATCAAAAAAGATAAATCATACAGCTTCAAATATGGGTAATCGAAAACATGGGTTTGTAAGTTACCTAATGAAGAAGGACTACAACAGTCTTAAGACATTGTCTTGGAATGATGTCATTTGTGAGGCAGTCACCAAATTTCCTGAGCTTGTTCTGTTACTGGTGACATGTATGTTAGCACCTGAGAAAAGAACATTACTTGAAAAACTAAGATCTCTGATTCCACGACTGGGGATGATATATGGAGTAATTATGCAAGGTAGAATTCCAGAGTTGAGCAGAGTTCAGCGGGTAATAGCCATGCTATTACAGGATAATCTAACAGACCAGAAGGTAAATACTATTTATTACCATGTGTTAACATTTTGTGAAAAAAAGATTTCTAGTCAGGATAAGTTGAAAGAGGAACAAAATAGCTGATCTCTACTGCTACTTTGTGGTTCAAGCCACATTTTGCAGTTGTGCCTTTTAATTCCATCTAAATTTTGACTAGCACTTAACTTATATGTCACTAATCAAAGTATTTATTTTATCCCCTTTTTTTCCTATAATTACGAGAGATTTGCCAGAAGGATTTCTTTGGAGCTTTGACAAGAAACTATTTACCCAAATGTATATTGTGCACAAGCTGGTTCACACAATCAGATTAATCTTATCAAACATATCGTATTAAGTCAAAATCTGACCATATGAAGTGCAATAAATTGTTTCACAAGATTTTGGAATTTCATCAGGATAATTAACACCAATATTCAGCACCATAAAAAAATGTGCAATCTGAACTGATGTATTCTACATTACAGAGTGATTTGATCTCCTTAATCTGACTGTGTGAACCAACCTTTCAAGTTTGATGCATTCTTGCAATGAATACACCTGCAATTTATTGAGGTATGAATGCTGTTAATAGAGTTAAAAGTGTTTACAGATATTTATTTTGCATACAAATATCACAAATACTACGTAGCTACATGTAATGTTATTATACTATTGTTATGCAGGTATTCGATAGACTACAGAAAGTGGGTGTTTGCCTTAGTTACACACAAAGTAAGGCCATCATGGATGAAGTTGGCGGTCACTTCAATTCTGAACTAATTGATGCTGTGAGAAATGGTAGCCGTTTGAGACTAGTGGGTGACAACTGTAATTACAGAGTCAATGTCCATGATGAACGAACAGATGCCCACAGTGTTATGCACCATGACTTTGCTTCTGCTGCTGTTGTACAGTTATTGGACTTCAAGGAACTCAATAACATTGCACCACAAATTGACTATTTATGTACAAACCATACAACGTTTCTGACCAACAATACAGAATGTCATGAGATGAAGATGGAGTATGTTGTCCACATAGCAAGGGTTGCTGTTCGTATATTACCCTGTTTTCAGTTTTTGAAGGATGTAATACCACAACACCTTACAGGCCGATTCAGTAAAGAACTTGCAGTTAAGAGTAAAGTAGTGCCATTGCCGGTCCTAGTAAATTGCAATGAACAAGACTATAATCACGTAGTCCGAATATTGGACTTTTATGAGGAAACGCTAAATCAAATTTACACCAAAGCTGAGATATCATATGATGATAATGTTACAGTTCATATTGGTGGTGACCAACTTACTAGAGATAGGTTTTCTGGTGCTAAACGTCTGAGGATTAGGGGAGCAACTGCCAGTGAAAGATTCGGTCATTTAAGTCCAATTACTTTTGAATTCTTTCACATGCAGATGAACTATCTAGCGTTATTTTACAAGATTCTATATAAGGAAGACAGTATCCAAGAAATGGGTACTATGAGAGCAGAGCAACAACGTATAATGAGAAGAAGTGTAAAGGCTGATGTGAAGAATGCCTACGAGGCAGATGCTGATTTTGCCATTTCCTTCACTGATGCGTATATAACTGAAGCACTACTTGAATTCTTCGGGATGGAAGATGTAAATGACATCCAAACAAGAAATGTACCTCCACCAAACCTTGCCTCAGCTGATGATCGTCGGGAATGGATGTACACAACATTTATGAAACTTATTGACCAATTTGTTTGGCCAAGGAAGAATGTAACTATGCAGGATGAGACTGTGCTAGGTAAAGTAACATTCAGTTTCTTGACAGGGAACAATATTTTACAAAAATGGTGTAGAGCCAAAATAAAACCCGATTTAAATGTTGCATATTTATGAATAATGAGCAATATGCTATACAATGACTCCTCCATTAGTGCTAAAATTCTCTTCTGACCCATTATCATTAGGACACAATAAATGCGAAGTGTGACTTATGTGCACTTCTAAGAAAGTCAATAAATTGTCAATACAAAATGCAATGTGCCGGGTCATCTTTGACGCTGCCTGTATGCATGGGTTCATTGCTCTCAGAAAATCCTTCATTTGAGGGAAATGCAAATATTTTTTAGATTGTGCTGACACCAATCTTATGGTGCATTAAATTCTCAAAAAACTACTGGACCAGATCAGTATCATATTCATGGTGAATGCATACTATTTTAATGTGATATATACAAGGTTATTCTCAAAACATATACACAGATTTATTCATGGATATCATGTGGCATATCCCATTGATTTCATCTTCACAATTGGCTAGATACACTGTATTGACATATCTACATTAGGTCATTTTTTCTAAATGTGTGATGAGAATGTAAGAAGAATTGTTTGTGACTTAGTGATTCACGATAGAATTTTGGCCACAGAAAGGCCACTCATCTGCTGAAACCCTGGGCAAGTTTTTGGATGGGCTTTGTATCAGACAAATATTGGTCATAGACTAATTATGGTAGAGGTCTTTTTGTAATGTTACTGTTTGGTTTATTGCAGATGATGGAAATATTATCACTGTAAAACTTGCAAATGGCAGTATGTGCACAGTATTGTTGAAACCAAGAAAACCACAAGTTGTAGCAGAAGATTATGTCCAAAATTATGGTCACACAGTACTGGAATTGGGTCTACTGTTCAAATCGATGTGTGATTTGTGTAAGCTTCCTGATAGGGATAGGGGCATACGTATATTGAAGATGGCCATGATAATCTTTAAAGCCAATAATAATCTTTCTAAATATGCTCTGGAAATAATGCGTTTGTTAGTGCACCAGTTATGTATATTTTCAGAACAACAAGCAAATGAGGAGTTTTATGGGTTATTTGTTAATACCAAGGGTCAAATTAATTCTTTCATACCAGCAGATAGGCAGATGGAGTATATTGTGAAACTTGTGAAACAAAATATGAAGCACATGTGCTCCAATAAAACGGGAACTAACATAAAAAAAGTTACAAGTGCACTTGCTGGAATAGCAGATATAGCTGAAAACTTTGATAGGTCAAGTAGAGTAATTATCAGGTCTAAGAAACACTCTGCAGTATCTGCACAAGATGATGAACTTGCAATGATTGAAGATCTTAGACGGGTCCGGCCATTCCAGTGTGAACCAGGAAGATATCATGCAACATTTGCACATATTAGTAATACCATACAAAGTAATCTAGACAGGCAGCATTTGTATGCATGGATTCATAGTAACATTGTTAAGTTTGCTACTGAGATTGGAAATTAATATTGGGTGAACATGTACATTTATCTTGCATTGAATGTATGAGATGTGAAGGGATGTCTTGTGAAATGGCTACTATGTTTACAGTATTACACTGTATATGTACTGTATTGACTCTATTAGAAGTGCACTTAAGCCAAACTGTGTCTTTGTATTATACAACTTAAACTTGTATTATAGTTTATTTATGTCCACCATAAAGATACTTTAGTCCTTTAACTAAGTGAATGTGCTTTTAAGGGGTCAATCAGGTATCTGTGACAAGGTCTGTAGAATTTGGAAAGGGAACTGTGGAGGGGTGCAGTGTTTAGAAAAATAGTATATTACAATATAGTTACATGCACAAAATTGAAGCCGACCAGTTTAGTACTTTTCTCGACAACCGCCAGATTCATGTGGTCCACTTCTTATAGAGCAAAATTTTTATTATTATAAGTACCGTATTTTAGAAGAGCATGTAAATACTAAGATACATGTGCATGACAATTGTTTTCGCAATTGGATCAAAGATTGCCAACTGGCAGCCATCCTGGTTTTTATTGAAAATGTGCCGTCTTGAACATGCTTTGTCAGTTTTCATATGGACCTGATTAGTAATTGGGCTGTCAAACATATATTTTTGGTAAATGTGTTTGTCATTTTTGGTCAAAATTGATATTTTGGATCAGTATTGATTACAGTAAAGGCTTTGATGCAATGTATTTGAGTGAGATAGCTCTTATTGAGCAGCATGAGTTGTGAATCGGTTTATAAATTGGGCTGTCAAACATGTATATTTGGAGAATATATTGTCAAAAACATTCTCCATTTTGGTCAGTCACAAATTCATAGACTACAATGTAATTCCCAGGGGACACTTAATTATAATAACTTATTTTGGTGAATATTTGTTCATCCAAACAATTCATATTTCTCTTTTCAAAAGAATTTGATCTTATATATAATGGTCAGCACATTTTGTGTGGCAAAACCCCATCACAAATATGGGTTCCAGGTCTTCAAGCGAGTCAGATTCCAGGGTTTTAGTGGTCCTATGCTATGTTATGCCACCATAAATAGTCTTTAACCCCTATGCTTATCTGATATCACATATTTAGTGTAATGTTTATAATGGCACTAAATTTCCTCTATGATATACTCGACCTCAGAAAATAAATTTACAAGTAATTTGTGTACCATATGTGTATTTGCTACATTAGAAGCGCACCTAAACCAAAATTTAAATTGTTTGTATACTGTAGTGTTAGAGTATCAATTATTTTTGCCAGACAGACCTTGACATGTAGTTAAGAGCATGCGCTTCTAATGTAACAAATACAGTACATCTAAGTATGAGTGAGTGGTCATGTTCACTGGATTTATAAATTAGAAACTGCAACATTTATGCGCATCACAGCCATAGAGTGCCATGTAAAAATCAAAATGTTATTGGCCCAAATGACACTAATGCTGTGACACTGATTTAAATGCATCAGCAATTTTACAAATGTGGGCTTCATAGTGTGACAATTTCCAGGGTTACATCTTTCCACCACTGTGAATATTACATATGCAAGTAAGACAGCACAATGTTTTTTTTAAGTTAAAGATAATCATTTATTATATACATGTTTCACTGCAAGTTTGGTACATACCACATAAAATATTTGTAAATAAACATCCCTGTCTCATCAACTTAGTAATTGTGTCATTGGTATTTTTCGACCCAAAGAAAGCTTCAAAAGGGCTCCCACATATTGTGAACAATCGTATTGGACAGACATCAAGAAATGTGTGCAGAGTTGCATGAACCATGGAACTGGGGTTTATAGTTCCATGCATGAACCTAATTGCACATTGCACAAGAGTTGTTACAAGAGTGAGGTTGACTTGATTGCATTAACAAACAAGTCATGCACAGCACAGTCCTTGTGAATTACCAACTTGTATGCTGTGTATCAGCACTTAGATATGCATATGTATAGAAATTAATTGCTGCAGGCTGGCATATCCAAATTATATATACATTTGTAAAACAAGCAGTCTATCAGTTGATACAGCTCTGCTGTATTGTGAAATGTACCAGCTTAACACATTTGAAATATAGCTGCAAGCAGCGATCAACGAGTTTCGAACCTATGGCAGCATTGGTACAGGGCTGTAATACACCAAATTTAGTTCAAGGGGTCTTGAAAAAAACTATATCATACCACCCTCTTCTCCCCCTCCAAATATAAGTCCCTTTAAAAACTTTAAAACATTCGATTGGGACCCTTACTCATCACACCAATTTTGGTTCAAATCGGTCACATGGCCTTGGAGTTAAATGAATTCATACCCCCCCTCAAAAAAAAACTGCTATTAGGACACCCGCAGGGGTACTCTTTGTCATCACACCAAATTTGGTCCAAATCGGTCAAGGGGTTTTGGAGTAAAACGCAAATATATAAAAATCACACACCCCCCCCTCCCCTCAAAATTGACCCTCTCAGAAAAGTAACACCATTATAACATTCACTAGGAGACTCTTTGTCACAACACCAAAATTGGTCAAGGAGTCTTGGAGTAAAACGCAAATATATAAAAATCACACCCCCCCCCCTCCCCTCAAAATTGACCCTCTCAGAAAAGTAACACCATTATAACATTCACTAGGAGACTCTTTGTCACAACACCAAAATTGGTCAAGGAGTCTTGGAGTAAAAGGCAAATATATAAAAACCACCCTCCGCCCCCTCAAAAATGCCCCTCTCAGAAAAGTAACATCATTATAACATTCACTGAGGGATTCTTTGTCATCACACCAAATTTGGTCCAAATCGGTCAAGGTGTCTAGAAGTAAGATGCAAATATATAATGTCTTATCCTTAAATTTGGTACAAATACGTTCAGTTGCTCATGAGACAATTCAAACTAAGTAACAAAAACCATATGAGAATTAGCTGGTTAATTCCCAAAACTGATAAACTGATAAGCTCCGAGGATTTTAATGGAAATACCATGAACAGTTTTTTTTAAATAAAGGATATCCTGGTAGATCAAAGCAAAAACATATCTCCTCTCACAGGATAGTGACATAAGTTTTTCCTTCTGATTATCTAAGCAATAGACCCCTTTCATAAATCTAGCATAGTTCCTCTCTAAATACACAGGAAACCTCATCCTTGAACTCTACAAAATATAAAAATACTAATTATTTCACAACCAAGGGAGTTTATTAGCTTTCAAAAGGACTGTCTGCACTGTACACTCTATGGTAAAAACACACTGCTAAGCATTCATTACCTACTGGCCTCACTCTGAGTTAAGGTCAACGGTTAATGAGTGAGGGCGCTTGATTTATGAAAGGGGTCTATGTGCCATGAATTTATTGCTGTGAATCCTGTGCATCCAGGATATCAAATGGTCTAGCCCTAATCTAAATTGCAGTTGAGAGCAAGCATACAAATTGATATATATATATATATATATAGGACTTCAAGACACACAGATTCAAAACTTAGGTGAAATATATTGTCAAAGTAAGGTGTATCACTGAAAACTGAGGGGGATTATGAACACTAAGGCACAGCGCTTAATTGATGTGTGTGATAAAATGTATCATACAAACACACATTTTTTTTCATGAACTAGAAATCATTGTCAAAGAGTATTGGACATCCAGTTGAAAACAGTATTGTTTTATCAATGTATTGCATGCCATTGTTTGAGCTCCCAATCAGTATATACATTGACAATATATAGAGTATCACTACATGCTAACAATAAGTGAGTTGCCATATTAAGGATAAATTAGTCTTTGGTCACTTTATTGAATATACGTAACAGTACTCCATCAACACATCCAACAAAGTGATCAACTTTCAGAATTTATCCTTATTTTTACAGCATGAAACCCTGCTCTAACAAAATGTCTCACTATTGTTTTGAATATGCATGTCTTGAAGCACCCATATATACATATATATTAATTTGTATGCTTTCAACTGGAAGCAAACACATGAGCAAATAACATTTCCCCTCAGTTTCCAGTGAAAATTTGAGGTACATAACTATAAAGATTCTCCTCTTTCTACACTTGCAAAATAAGAGAAATTATATTATCAACATATTGATCCTCCAAATAAAAATCAGAAATCAAAAACTTGCGATTGGAGTATCTTGTATATTTTGAAGATATCTTCTCCGCTAAAGATGGTGTCCATCCTGTGACAACTGAAGGAGAAGGTGCATTACAGATGTTATTTTCAGCTTCAAAATACTGTAATAACACATCACATATTACCTGTGCTTTGTGATCATCAAAATCACTTTCATCAGCATCTGACTGTACATCAGATTCTGCTCCTGATGGCTATCAGTTTCAGCTGGCTGCTAACAGCCCGCAACAATAGGATCTGATGTACAGCCTGATGATAATGAAACTGAGAATCACAGATGGTACAGTCACACAATAGCTTGCAATTGTCACAGCACTGATGTTTAATGATTTAGTCCTTGGGAAATTCCTGACCAAAATGTGAGGCTAGTGACACTCTACGACATTCATCTGTTGTACAGTATTTCCTCATTTCCTCAGTCATGCCTTTCACATTGTGTGCTTTGTCAGATGCGTTGTAGTACAAAATAGCCTCAGATTCTTCCCCATCTCTCCCACATCTGTCAACTTCCTGAATGTATGCTAATGAACAAATGAGAATTGTATTTAACATTTAAGTAGCTTTACTACAAGTTACAAAAATAGTGCAATATGGTACTGGACTGTATTTGCTGTATTACTAGAGCATATGCATAGGTAAATGACATGGTAATATATCTCTATACAGTACAGGAAAAGTTTAGTTTATTGTACACTTCTATTCAAGATGCACTTCTCATATTGAGCAAATGCGTATTTTCATGAGTTCTCTTGGGTGACTGACATCAATTGTTATATCCATTCTATGATGTAACCTGTGGCATTTCATCATAAAATAACTTTCCTAGCCATCATCGTCATCCAATAACTACACTCATGACAGGATTACAGGATTATTGGGACTTCAGATTCTCTTGAACCAACCAATTGCTTGTGGTCATTAAATAATCAAAACAAATAAAACATTCAAAATGTTGGCAACACTTACAAGCAGTATAATAATAAGATCATGCACACAATAAAGGAACTTGGTTTTACACATTGTATGTCAAATATGTACAATGCGCTCTGAAAATTCATGAATTTTGTGCGTAACATTGCATTTACTACATTTAGACTGAACTACATGCATTTTAACATACTTTCCATTGTTCTTGGTACACCGGCATGGATAATTCGCCTGACTTGTTTTGGATCTGCACCCATCCCATATGCCTCAGTTGCAAATAACAATCTGATACCACAATTCATGGTCTGCATGCCATCGATCACCTCTTTCTTCATCTGCTTAATGATAAAAGTATGATATATAAATTGTCAATATGCAAGTTGATATGAAATAGCCAAATGGCTCAAGTTAATTGTTGTGGCAAAGGTAATGTAACAGAATATCATATGATAGTTAAATGACAGAGGTGCATTTATAGTAAAAAAAATGCACAAATTATTAATATACAGAACAGTATACAACAAATTTTGATGGCTTATCTGTTCTTGTGTTGGAGATAAACATCTAATATAGCAAATACAGTTAAAGGGGCACAGTCGCTATATCTTTTATACAAATTTGGCTTAAGTGTAAAGTGAACTGCATTCACCAATTTGATAAAGAACACACACTTATCACGTGTCTGATCTTTCAGTGTGTCATTTGATGAGGCAACAGCCACATTGTTTACCTAAATGTTATAGACAAAGCTGCTTATAAACCTGGAACAAATGATTTTATATATATAACAATTAACAAATAAATATTCACTTTATTTTTTTATTGGTAAAACCAGCAGAGGACCAATTTGTTATTTACTATACAACAACAACAACAATAACATACCATACCATACAGAATATGGAAAACAATCGTTAAACAGTAGAAGTCATATCCAAGTTAGTATTTATAGTTAACAAAATAACTTAAATTTACCTTGTTAGTGCATGAGGCATGGAATTGAGCCACCAGACCAGATATATCATCTATATCACTGTCAAAAGTTGGCATTAAGGACAATTCGTGAGCAAATCCACACCATTTAAGTGATGAGAAAACAATTGTTCGTGGAAAACATTCCTGTTTACTGCGCAATTCATCAATAAGTGGTTTGAAGATCTCCTTAAAAGACTCTTCAATTCTGTTGTTTGGAAGTCTTTTTGTCACATGGAACATTATGTTTGGTCTATCTATGCTGGCAGCGATAATAACAGGATTGGTAAGCAGAAGATGTGATGATATTTCTTGCTGTGTTCTTTTCGTACCGGTGGCCATAGGTCTTTCAGATTTCGATATTCCGGACGGAAATCACTTCCCCATTGTACTACACAGTGTGCTTCGTCAACAACAATATGAGATACCTTGTGTTGCCAAATGTCGCCACGAAATACGGCGAAGAGTTTATTGGTCATTATGTGTTCTGGGTGAGACAGTATATACAAATACTCACAACTAATGAAACTGGACAAACTACAGTCAAACTCCGGATTTAACCGCACTGACCTTGCGCCGAGTCTACGAGACTGTTCTTCTATAATAGCATTCAATGGCGAGATCAAGATCACTGTCCTGGGACTGTGTGAAGCTGACATGTAGGGAAGGCACTCAAAAATCAGTGATTTTCCATAACCGGTAGGCAACAAGCCTATACAATCACTATCAGTGGATGCCTTCAAACAATCAACTTGCTTTGGTCTTAAATATGTGTAACATGAATGACTGTTTGCGTTTACATGTGCTAAAGCAATCTTTGTTTTCATAACAAACTCCATGTCCATGGAAGCCGCCATGTTGAATTGTCTCAGTGACGAATCAG